CAAATCATGAACAAAATATGCGAAACATTTCTTGGAAGAAATTTTTTAAGCCTTAAAGGAGGAAGAGGGTTCCAGTTCTTATTTTTCCTTTTATGAATATTTTACTAATGCTATGTGCAGTTATCCATAGTTATTTCAGGAGGAAGGAAATAATATTAATAAATATTTAAAGTCCCTTCTTCCCTGATTAAAAAAGAATAATCAGTAGATACACATACTCTACTGCATTTAAGCAGAGGGAACTTGAAAGGGAAATCCAGTCTTTTGATTTAATTTCTAAATATTCTCTACATTAGCTGCAAAGTTCTATGAGAAAATCTTAAGTGGAAACTATAAGCGTAACAACAGTGACTCACTGTCCAAGCATGGATGATGCTCTATCCCATGGATGTCAAGCTCAAGGCCTGCGGGCCGCATCCGGCCCATGGGGTGCTTAGAACTGGACCACTGAGCTGCCCTGGAAACAGCGAAGGACCGGCCCACGGCACCTCTGCTAGCAAAAATGGAGCACGGCTTTGGCTCTGTTTTTGGCTGGGATGGCCTCCGGCAGTCCTCTGCCAATGAAAATGGAGCTCGGGGCAACCCTCTGCCAGCCCCACCCACGACACCACAGGTGACGTCGAGCTGGCAATGCTCCCCCTGGGCAAACCCCCCTGGCCACGCCAAGGTCAAACACAACCCTGATGCGGTCCTCAATGAAATTGAGTTTGACACCCCTGCTCTATCCATATTCCTCCCTATGTTAAAACTTTCTAGCATATTACTGACAACCTCGTTCTCTTATGCCCTGGAATCAACAAAACTTAGGAGTTCCCATATTTAGAACTGGTTGTCAGCCACATGCTGTGTTGACACTAAAAATCAACTTAATCTGTTTTTTCCCTCTTATTTCTGTTAATCCACCTAATGATCCTCCTCGCTTTTGCTATTTAAGGTGCTTTACACAGCTGGCAACTAAAATCCAGCACTTTATGTCATTTATCAACAGCAGATCAGCAAAGTACTCTTTGATAAAAGCTCCAAATAAATTGCTCCTTATTTAGCAGCCAAGGAAGAACTGAAGCGTCTGGAACCAGGTTTGCATTAAGCAGCTTCTCCAAATGAGACAAATGTCCCTCCAAAAAACAACAACAGTTATTATCACTTGTTGTTGCTTTGCCAAGATGCTAGAGGTTGTTTACTGGATGAAATAATCCACTAAAATGGGCTTTTCCCTCAAAAGCAAGCTTCAATAGTGCGGTGAGATTTCCCCATCTCAGAGCACAAGCTCCCAATTCCTTTGTCCTTCTGTAGTAAGGGAACTGCCAACCTTCTCGTCTCCATGGCTACAAAATGGCAAATCAAACAGGGTCTCTTACTTCAGATTCCCCTCTCTGAAAAGAGAGCAAGCAGCAAAGAGCTTCCTGGGGTTTTCCACAATGCAACGGTAAAAAAAAGAAATCCCTTTTCTTCCTTTTCCAGCAGTCAAGCGGCAACTGCTAACCGCAGTGCTTAAAGCACAGGGACTAAGAAGGAACAATCAGGCTGAGGTCAGACGCGCCTCCTGCAACACCTTCACCAGGTGCTCTCCGGCAGGTAATAATGGATGCCAGGGTCTTAGTCCAACTTTCAACAGCAACTCATCCCTTACGGAGACTCCAACGAGTGGGGCGGCGGAAGGAAATTTCAGGAGTTGTAAACGGGAGAGGAAGAGACTTCCAAACCAAAGACAGCAACGCAAGCCTCGGCTTCCAGGAACATTTTAAACCACTTTTTAAAGATGCCATTAAACATTTTACCAAACCCTTCATCACAAAGAAATGCTCATTGATTACTGTACAGCTAGTCCTTGAGTTACAACAGTTCAATTACTGACTGTTCAAAGTTATGACATCAATGAAAAAAATGACTTCTAAAACATTTTTCACATGGCCATTGTAGCATCCTCATGGTCAAATGATCAAAATTCAGACTCTTAGCTACTGGGTCAGCATCAAGGCAACCTGAGAGCTCCGAGGTGGAAGAAGGAATGGGGCTGGCAGAGAGAGAGAGAGAGAGAGACAGAGGCAGAGCCTGGGCCAGCCGTCAGCCCTCAGATGGAGAGTCAACAGCCCCCAGGTCTGGAGATGGCTGATGAGGAAGAGGAGGAACAGCTGGGTCCAGTGCCGGATGTACA